ATATATATACACATAAAGAAATCTTAAATGAAAATAGTTAAATAATCATTATTTACATACACAAATAAATAAAAATTTCATTATGATGTCACATACAATCATAATAATTTTCAATAAACTAAAGTGTTTATTATGTAAAATTATTTTGATTTTGAAATTTGTGTATCAAATAGTATTTTTATTAAAGTAGTAGTGGAAAGAATACTATTTATTGTGATTAGTTCTATTATACACAATTATTAAAGCATTTAAATTGTAATTAAATGGTACATTGGACCTTTTCATGATCTTTTATTAGGTACGTATTAGTAAAATAGTAATGGCAATTGGTAGGTTTATCAATTGGTACATTAATCACAATTTTCACTTCAAAACTTTGTACCTTCTATAAAAAATATTAATAATTGAAGTCCAGCTTATAATTATCTATCATAATTGATCAGCTCTCCTATACATTAAAATTTTTAAAGACATTGTGGCTCAAACTACATTGATTATTGTTACAAGGTTAAGTCAACTAAAAAGTTATCACTTCTGGCTAATTACAAAGATAAAATAATAATCTATTAGTTATTATCAACAAATTAATATTAAATTAGCATAGTAATATGTTTTTTAGCTTTGTGCTTGCTTTAACAGCTCGACACAATGAGCAGTTACCATGTTAAAATACCTACATCTTAAAATTTTATTGATGCAATAAATTATATTATAACCATTACTTTTAACTAATTTCAAGTATTTAATTTTATTTTTTTTTAGGTATATATATGTATTGTTCACATAATAATTATAAATTATAAAATTCAATGAAAGTCTTAAGACCCATTATATTTTAGTTGTATACAGTGCCGCTGTAACCACTGAACCAACTGCTGCCTTTTAAAAATATATTTTTTAATACTTTTGCATTATTATTATTGAAAGAAAAAAATCACCTAATATAGAATATTTATACCTACTTACCTAGATTTTTTTTTTTAACAAACATTTCTTTTTCAATACAAACTTATTTATGTTATACCTAACTAATTAGTTAACTATATTGTCTATCTTATAATATTAGTAACCTTGGTATTAGAGATTTGCCGATCCTAAAAAATTAATTCTGTAAGTACGTGTTTATAGACTATATAGTAGGTATATACCAGGAAATAGGCACTGGTTATAGATTTATATTATTACTATATGTGAAATGAGATGTTTAATAAAGAGGTAGGTAACTGTAAAAAAATATGTTTTTAAATTAAAGTTATTTGAAATTAAACAATATAAGAATACAATACAATTATTGTAAGTAAATCGAAGACCGCAATTTTATAAGACGTAATAACGTAAACAAATACGTCTTAATTAAAACTAAAAAAATTGTTGCTTATATCATTCAATTTTAAATGTCAGGCAATTGAAATAAAATATGTAAATTCTAAATTAATTCTGAAATAGTATGCACCTTATACTTGTTAATCTGAAAAGTTATAAAGTTATAAGTTTATAACTTACTAATGTGAATCGTGAGCCATGATAGTTACATCGTTTTGACAACGACTTTGCTGAAAATCGTTATTTTATGTTAACGATTTGCATGGAACTATAATTGCAGTTGCCAGTTTCRGTGTTTCATTTTAGTACCTAGGTACCTACATTGGCTACATTGCATGCAATAAAAAAACATATAGCTTAAAAGCTTGGTACACAACTGTTACGGTTTATACGTTTAGAGTAGGTATCTGAATATAGACAAAAGAGTGCTTTTGCGTATTATGTAATTTTTCCTATGAAATCTAAATATTTTTTGTCGGTACTTGAAGTTGCCTTTAATATGTTAGTTGATTATTTTCTTGAAGATATTATATTATTATATATGTAATACATTGTGTATTAGTATATCTATATATATATATTATTGTACCATGCAAGTTGTTATTCATGTTACATCAATTTGACACAAAAAAGCAATATGCCAATATGTAATGACTAATGAATAATCGTTGAGTCCAATTTAAAATATCTATATCCTATGGTTGTTAAATAATTACAACGTAATTAAAATTTATCAAAAGGCTGATATAGTTTGGAATTATTATTACAGTATACTATTTGTATTTGAGCTTTATTATAAACGATTCGGGTTTTCTTTATGCRTTTCATTAAAATAAATAAATGATTATAGTTATTAATAATTAATTATCTTCGGGTAGAGCAATTTCAAACTCATCATTGATTTTTATATGTTATATTTATTTATTATTGTAACAAATTAACATGTACATAYTCAATAATTTTGTTAACTGTTCAGGTTGTTTTAAAAAATATAGGSCCTACAATGCAAGATAAAAATTTAATTCAACCATTGTGTTTAGAATTTAGATAGTTTATCTATAATCTATTCAATGCCAGCAGATGGCAATAATATTATGTATCACGTGATTGTTGAATATACGTGGTATCTACATTCTTTCTTTTGATGTAGGTACTATGAAGTGGCATGTGTTTGTTTTTAATCGTTATCATAATATCGGTATTATTATTATTTAAAATAGTATATATTTCTTCTTTATTTTTAATAACGAATAATATAATATATTAAATTACGCACGTGATCGACTGCAAAAATACGGCGCGGAAAAAAGATAATTTTGATCTAATGACTGTTCAATATTACTTTTATAATATAACGAGCTTTAATACTAGTGTATTGCAGTTTTCTACAAAATATTACATAATTTAATCTATTCATTCCTCTAAAATGTTCTTTTCTTGTTTTACAAGTGACCCTACGCGGCTACACGTGTCTATAGGTCCAGGCCTATAGCTGACACGTAGGTTAATAAATTTATATCTATACTTCTATTCTTAGAATGAAAGAA